GAAGAAAGTGACATGCATTAGGTCAAATTGAATGCATGTCCCAGACGTCTGTTCCGTGATTTCCCGTGATAAAGCATGAAACTGTTGTTGTTGTTGTTGTTGTTTGTATACGGTTGTAGACAGTAAAGACAAGAACGACGGTTTTGACTTTGAAGGTATGCTAAAGACATAAATATTTAGATAGCGGTTGAATCAGATGTGGTCCAGATTGTATGAAGGGAGCAATGTAGTTTTGATGAATTTTGTACAGGGAATCGTATTGATCAATAATATGGTGTTTTTCATATCGTTAGTAATACAGTGATTATCGCAAGTAACCTTGCTCAAACCGACTCTTGAAATGAAATGATTTAGGAAAATAGTCAGCAAACTTGTGCCAAATTATCCAGACTCTCCGGGTCTCAGTGTCAATAGGTCCATGCTGTGATCCAGATCCGGCTTAAAGTACGACCCCTTTCGAATAAATCCGTCTGTCATGCCAACTAAAGGTTAGTTAGCTTATCAAGAATGGATCTTACCGTTGTCCTCTGTTCCGTCATTCTGATGCTATTTAGGCTAATTACCAAATCCTCACCAACCGCGCTCTCTTTTTTCAGGGAAACCCTTGATGCCATGATGTTTTTGTGTGTTTATAGACCACACTCAATGCCCTTCGGTTATGGTGCGAGGCGCAATCGCTCAGTTCCGTTGATTTGTTATTATCGATATATACTTAATAGATCACGATCCTCTTTTTTGTAGTAGTCTTTGACCTTAATTACATACATGCTCCATCCATTTTGTAGTTACAATCCTTGCAGCTGATGTTGATAGATTTGTTTGTTTTGGTTGTGTATTTGATTTCTTTTACGAGCCCCTTCAAGAGCAAGATAATAGATTTGGAAACTAATATTGCCAATCTCTCAGTATGTCTCAAAAGTGTTTCATTTGAAAGAAATGCTGCTCAGCCAGTGCTTCTGGTGGGATTGATTTTCTCTAGTTCAGTTAGTTGCTTTCATACATTTACCATTGTGAAATAATTCAAACAAGACAGCGTTGATGAAATAGGCTTACATTCCGCGGAAACGTTTGCAAGAGAATTACAACGTTCTCTCACTGCATCAGTTATTTCATTTCGCTGGCGATACCGATCTAGATGACGATAATGCAGATGACGCGGGTGCCGAAGATGATTTAATTCAGANTAATTCAGAGTGTAAATGATTTCCCTTGACTGTCTCACCATCCATCCCACAGTCGAATTGTTTACGCAAAGACAGTTCTGACCATTTCACACTCGACTGAATTCAAACGAAACGATCAAATTGGATTAGCAGCGAGAATTGACTAGGCCTGGATAGCGGCACTGCCACTGTTCGAAAGATCTGTGAACGAACGGTTACTGTGTATTTTGTTGGGAACACGTCTCCACGGCTGCTCGTATCATCCAAATTGGTGGGTGTAACGGCACAAAAGCAGAAGAAGAGCGATGGGCGAAGGAAGCAAAACCCGGCAACGGGAGGGGGCGGTTAGGTGCTGTGTGGTGCATTATACGATTATCACTATCTGATGAATGAGTACAAGTTTGATGAATGATCAAATGCAGTTGCACCTTAACTTTACGATGAATTCAAGTGACTTAAATACCATAATCGAGAAAATTGTTAGAAACGCAAAATGTCCCCATATGACCTTGAGGATAGTAGTAGTGGAGTTGATCATAACGGCAAGTAACCAGTGCATGGTGGATCGTCCGTGAAAGCCAATTTGTTTCTGTCTGCTTGAATACCTGTCTGAGTTAATCAAGCGGTTAGCGGTTTATGAACAAAATGAACATTGGTAATGAAGTTGGAACGAAAGCCAGTGGGCAATAAATCGATTAGCAACTCAGGGTTCATCCCCTAGGGCAAACTCATCCACTCATCAACGGGACTAATCAGCTACCTGTGCTAACTTCACTGCAAGTTCAGCATTTTCCCGTTTTTGCAATTGCGGTGGTAGTGAACGATTCGGTAACTTATGCATCCGTCAATTACGCCCACGCAAAACAAACAGAACGTGTGATCGATCGATTGATGAATAAAATGGACAATGGGATAACAAAAGACGGACTGTCATTTTCGGAACTGGCTGGACAAAACAAAGCTTCTCTAACGGGCACCGATAACGCCTAATTCAAGTAATCTTTCAGGTCACACGAAACAGGGAACGGAGATGAAGCGATTACGTACTATAGTTCAATTTTTCCAAATTTGGACCTTCACAATGGTATAGTGCGTGTAAGAGAATTTAAATTTCGCCCATGCTTTTTTTATCGATCGAACACAGAGAAGTGACATGCATTTTTCTGTCAGTCATATATCTTTAATTAAAAAAGGTAATCCTTTCAAGGTAAACCCAATCCTACAAAGGCGTTTTTTAAGCTTCAGCTCCTATTGCACAACAAGTTCACTTTTCTGCTTTCGTCTGTGCCATAAAAAATGATTACAAAGGATGTATAGAGAATGTCCCACGGCGGTAAATTGTACATCAAGCTGACTTTTCCGTGTATGAGGTTCGTTCTGATCTGATTCGATTTAACTTTTAACCAATTTTTACAACTGACAACGGACTAGGGGACCGAAATGCTCGTAACTGACATAAATGCTGCGTAATATTAGCCC